TGGCGCTTGCAGGAGAGATTCCAGCTGGAAGACTTAAACTGGGTGGGTTTTGGTGTTTTGGATAGGTGGTCGCTTAAGGGAGGTAGTCGCACATGGAAGTTTAACTGTACTCCAACAGAGTAAATCCCTTTCACGACGATGCGACTAGGATTTGTCCATGGAAGATAAGACTCCTTGTTCACCTCTTTTGAGCTGCTCTAATCAACTCCCACCCATGTCGAGTGCTTGCAAAACGTAGCATCATCTTGAAAAGAGAAGTATTAGAAAGGTCAACGACCCTGGCATATCGCAGTATGCGGCAACGAACTTGTATCGACGTAAGTACCATTTACTAACCGCGCAGTAAGGTGACGCAGAGTAAAAGCGTAACTTGACTACAATTTTCAGTTTACAACAGACCCGAGTTTTGTTCAAAGAAATGTCTGCTTTTGCTCAGGAGTACTAACGTCAGTTCCCGCAATGTCCCAGCTCGCGTCTTCACACCGGAACGTCCGATCGAATTATTATTTAGTTGATAGCTACCCTTCTCTTCCTCTTCCCAACTTATCTATTAGGAAGATCGAAGGGCCTCTGCTCTTAGGGTAGTTGATAGCGACTAAGGAGCTAAATAACATAACGAGGTAAGTAAGTGGGATCGGCGGTTTTATTTACGCCTAACCGTTTCCCAAAGTAAAGAAGGAAAGAGCTTTAGACAAAAGGGAAAGAAGACCCCAAATCGAGGCCCTATGTGGCGAGTACGTATATTTGTTGTTTTAGGCTGATTCTGTGCTAAAGTCATTACTTACTACCTTTACCCAGTCAAAAAATGTTCAGTGTAGAGTTACATGTGGGGTATGAAGAAGATATCATTTTATAAGGGAGCACTAACCAAAAATATCTTTTTGGGTGATGCATTTAAACTTGAAAAAGATGGCCCATTTTTTTCAATTTTCAGTCCATGTCCATCCTGGACATCAGTAGCAACAGACCTTGCCTAATTATAGTCTTACATAACAAAACTGGACCATTATTTTTGAACTGAATTGATGTGAAATGAAGACCATATTAGGTTTTTAAAATGAACTAGCAAATAGCTTGGCATAGCCCCTTTAACTCTTTTTTGACGGCCAATTTTAGTGGAAGAAAACCCAGCCTTTTTGGACCGGTTTTCAACCAGTTAGTAGCCTGGATAACAGGCCTTATTTTTTTCGCGTTTTTGCAGGC